CTTCCTCCCAGTAATAGGAGCACTTGCTTAAATCAGATCAATTCTTAGTCAATATCTTGCAAATAACTGGATGTTTAGCTAAAGCAGTTGTTTTGGGAGGCTGTGATTATTCAAAGCCCTTCTACTTTGTGCATTCTAAAGAGCTTATATGCTACTGGGTAGGAAACATGAAAAGCCCACATGCAACCTGAAACATAATGCACATAAAACCTGAAGTTTACAACCGCAACTGAAAGCGTGCACAAAAATCATTACTTGCTTATCTCCATCCACATGTGTACGTTATAGACACGCTCAGCTTGGTACCATGTATGTTCTTTAACAACACAAATTACAACATCAATCCATCCGCAAATGCTGGTCAAGCACCACTGTTTTCTTTGATGAAAGTTGCATTACTTCCCTATAATGGAAAAACCTCAATACCATAGCAGAGATTCAATTAAAAGCCTCAGTTAAGAGCATCTGTTATATAAATTTTAAAAAGGCTGTCGGAACAAATGTGCCTTTTACAGCGCTCTGAACCTGCCATTCTGAGCTCTGATCAACCACAAAGGCAGAGAATGACAGGTTGACCTTTCAAGCATAGCACACAAATATACTACAATCAAACATTTTTGAAATACACTTTGATGTAGTAATCTACCACTGATGTAGAATTGGCAACCATCTGCTAAAGTAGCGAGTCCTCGAAGTAGTTTAATATTTTCTCATACTCATCTGTATTGCTTTCATGATCTAGTTAAGTTGAAGAGATAGAAATACGACATCTTAAACCACGCAGATGAGTCCTGGGCAAACCATGTCCACTTTGAATCTTTCCTAGAAAAAACCCCTGAATAAAACAACGGGGGTGAGCAAGAGTCACATAAACACAATGCATGAACCTATTTTACCTGATTCCCAGCACCAAACAAACAAGAAAACTTTCAATGCAAATAATAACTTTTATCCAAGTTTTATCCGAGCCTGGAAAAATCAAATTATCTTCCCAGAGCCACAAACAGCTGCCCATGTTCTTGGCTGGACATTGTAGCATAAGACTGTAAATACTTCTCAAAGAGGCAGGGACAGTTTTGTATCTTAAGCCTATTTGCTAAATCCATATTCCTATAATCAATTTTCGTTTAGCCGAAGCATTTACTTGCTAATTCAAATCTGATGAAGTGGAACTACAAGTGCATATAAGAGAGCAATCTCTGAAAGAGGCATTATATTAAACCGGTATTCCGTATTCCTCTGCAGTTTCTAGTTGCCCTTTTTATTTTGTTATTAGTGCAGTTATATCTGTGGTGATGGGAAAGGGTTATGGGCAAATGGCACAAGTGTACGATAGCATATCGTACATGACACTAACTGAATGAGACCTGGGGGTGAAGGTACATACACATTTATGTTGCCCCTGGTCGGGGCAGACTATGGCAATATGGCACCCTGAGTGAAGACAAAAAATGCCACCCTCCAAATATTTATTTTCATTCCTTTCTCCCTCTGGCCTTCCCTTCTACGCCCCCTTGGCTCGGTGACCTGTGCGGGAGAACCGCCTGCACCACCCTAAATTCAGGATTGCCTTGGTCTTTCTTGGACATTATCGAACACAACTGGAAACGTGGGCTACCTTGAAAGGCAGGTGCATTTTCCCACTGGAACAAATGACAACAAAAATCAGATCCTAGCATCCCTGCAAGCTTTGTGTATGAATTATGGTGCTGGAGGAGACTCTTGAGAGTCCCATGGACTGCAAGAAGATCAAACCTATCCATTCTTAAGGAAATCAGCCCTGAGTGCTCACTGGAAGGACACATCCTGAAGCTGAGGCTCCAATACTTTGGCCACCTCATGAGAAGAGAAGACTCCCTGGAAAAGACCCTGATGTTGGGAAAGATGGAGGGCACAAGGAGAAGGGGACGACAGAGGACGAGATGGTTGGATAGTGTTCTCGAAGCTACCAGCATGAATTTGACCAAATTGCGGGAGGCAGCGGAAGACTGAAGTGCCTGGCGTGCTCTGGTCCATGGGGTCACGAAGAGTCGGACACGATTAAACGACTAAACAACAACAAAATGATTCACAGAAGATAAAACCACAGGCTCATGGGAATTACAAGAGTTTCACTTCAACTCTGTCAAAAAATTCAGTTACGGAGGATAAACACCCAAGAATATATGCTAATTGTATGGATGCTTCCACATGCAAGGCCTGCAGATTCATTTGCAACCTCTCACTCCCTGCTGGAGATAGAATTCATATCTATCATTATTGTGACAAAACCTTAAGATTCCTTTCTTGGGCAACTGCTATTGGAACAGGATTTTATTTGATGCTCCTGCTCTGGCCAAATCTATTATAAAATAGGCACAGTCTACCCCCATGTTTCGAGGGATGCGAGTGGCACTGTGGTGTAAACCACTGAGCCTTGGGCTTACTGATCGGAAGGTTGGCAGTTCGAATCCCCACAATGGGGTAAGCTCCCGTTGCTCGGTCCCAGCTCCTGCCAACCTAACAGTTCGAAAGCACGTGAAGTGCAGGTAGATAAATAGGTACCACTCCAGCGGGAAGGTAAATGGCATTTCCATGCACTGCTCTGGTTTCGCTAGAAGCGGCTTAGTCATGCTGGCCACATGACCCAGAAAAAGTGTCTGCGGACAAACTTTGGCTCCCTCAGCCAGTAAAGCAAGATGAGCACTGCAATGCCAGAGTCGTTTGTGACTGGACTTAACTGTCAGGGGTCCTTTACCTTTTTTTTTTAACCCCCATGTTATTTCACAAGGCCATAGATCCTACAATGGTTATGTGATGCTGCACTTGTGGCTGCCAGTTTCCAAACACGACTGGCTTACACCCTAGAGGCAAACAATAAACGTTACTAGCAACGAGAGAGGAAAACCTATGTATGGCATGGGTGTTGTGAAGTTTTACTTAGCCAATATCAATACTTATTTAATACGAATATTTATTTCAAATAGGCCACAGAGCATGCATATACGTCTACCCGGAGAAATATTAAAAGTTGTAGAGCTAAGCATACCAACGCCATACCAGACAGATGTTATACTGGACAGGGTATTTGAAGACCGAGTTAGATAGCAAAGATGGCAAATCCATTCAAGACTCTCTGGGAACCTGCGGCCTTCCAAATGATGCTAGACTACAATTCCCATCATCCTTGGCCTCTACTAGCTGGTGCAGATGGAACTCCAACAGTATCTGGTGGGTCACAGGTTCCCCAGTTCTTGTTTATGAGACAGGCAGACAAGATAGGGAGATGGGCTAGCAGTAAAGCAAAGACTCTGTGCCAGCCAGCAAATGGGTGGAGCTCATCCCTGAGCTCTGAGATAGTTAGCAGAGACAAAGCAGAGTGGAGAGTTTAGGATTGCAGTTGGGGATGATGTGGGCTGGAGGAAAATAGTTGCCGTCTGTTAAATGCAGCAAGCCAGAGAGAAAGTCAGAGCCATGGCTGGTGTCTTTCTAAATCCTAAATTGCACCTATGGAGGAAGCAACACCCTCCTGGAATGTAATGCTGGGAATCCTACTATTGTAGTCTCAGGTTATATATATGTGTAACTAAACCATATATCCTAAAGACACCACAGTCTCTGCTGTACCTCATTTTGTGAAAGGAAACACAGACCCTAGGTAAAGCGTTCCTGGAACTCCCTGGAATCTCACAACACTCAGAGATTGGGGGTGTGTGTGTAACAATAGTCTTTCACATAAAATGAAAGCATTATTCATGGCTATATTCTCTAAAGTCAGAACACAGACTATGAGCTTGCAATGGGAGAGAACAGCATTATTCTGTTACAGTTCATCAGAATATGTCTTTGCAATAAAATACTTACACAAACAAGGAAGTTCACATCTTATATCCTACAGAATCGCTTCCAACAGAAAGAAGCAAGGTTGAGCGTTATGCCATTTCTGCTTGCACTTTACTGGCTTGCAAAGCCAGGTCAAATATAAATGGCATACAATGGAACAAACACAATTTTGATATTGCTGAAGTGACACAAAGTGCTTTAACGTACGATTAGATTGGAAAAAACAACAGAGATTGGATTAAGAACGATTAATGAACACAAATAAAACCAAGATTAGGAGAAAAAACAAGAAGCCAGATGAAAGAATCAACGGTATATGTAGATAGCAAGGAAGCCAACTCAGATGAAAGGTTTTGCTACTCCAAGAGCATGGCAGCATGCTCAAGTGATTTTAGCAGGCTGCTAGATGAGAAAAGTAAATACAGCTTTTGCACACATACTCACAAAGCATTTGTAGGAAAAGCAAATACAAGCTTAAGAAAGGCAAGCAGATCCTAGGCAAGCGAACACAATGCTTCACTTTTAAACTACTGTATAAAACAATGGCTCAGTTCGCAACATAATACTAAGCCAAACCATGGCTTAGTGCAAACGTGTGGGCTCCTAGAAAGGAGATCACAGCCCACTTTCATCCTCCAGTCCTGCTGCTGCTGCTGCTGTAGACCAAACAGCTTGTGAGAAAGACGACAAACCATCAACCCTCATTCCAACAGTAAGCTAAGGCAAACCATAGTTCCATTTGCAGCAGCCCACAGCAGGACCAAAGCGGCTGCAAATCAAAAGAACCTAGAGGTCAACCAGAAAATGTATGTTTGATTTCATGGAAAGTGCCTGTTTCTATAATCTATCAGTGACGAAGTGTGGCATTTGCCAAAAATATCAGCTGCAGTTAGTATGCACCCTATTACATAACTATGTAGAGCAATAAAAAAGTAAAAAAACAACAACTACCAAGTACCGTATTTTTCACTCTATAGGACGCACCGGATGATAGGATGCACCAAGTTTGGGGGACAGGAAAACAAGGAAAAAAATATTTTGAAACCCAGAAGCCAGAACAGCAAGAGGGATCTGGCTTTTGGGATACCGTGTGGCTGTTCTGGCTTCTGGGATAACCGCGCCTGCCCGAAGAGGCTGCACGCAGCTAAGGCAGAAGCCAGGGCAGACGCGTCGCTGAAGGGGTGCTGCATAGTTTTCCCTCTCTGCGCAGCGCCTCTCCTTCGCAGGGGAGGCGCTGCGCAGAGAGGGAGAACTGCGCAGCGCCCCTTCAAGCGAAGCTGGAGAAGGAAAAAAGGAAAAGGAGACCCTTCTGTTCCTCCTCCAGCTTCACAGGACAGGCGCGTGGCTGAAGGAGGACAGGCGGGCGCAGTTCTCCCACCTCCCGCAGAAGCCACACACTCTTTAAAGGGGCTGCGCGGCTTCTACTGGATTTTCTAGGAGGTAGGGGGGGATTCCCCCACCTCCCGCAGAAGCCCCGTGCTCTTTAAAGGGTGCGTGGCTCCTATGGGCTTTTCTACGAGGTGGGAGAAGGGACTGATGCGGCCAGTCAGTCCCTTCTCCCTTCTGGGGAAAAGCCCGCAAGAGCCGCACGGAGCTTGTGTGCAGCTCTTGGGGGCTTTTCCCGCCTGCCTCCCCCCTGCATTCGCTCCATAGGACGCACACACATTTTCCCTTGCTTTTTAGGAGGGAAAAAGTGCGTCCTATAGAGTGAAAAATACGGTAGATACCAGATATGGAGGATGCTTCTACTGCAGTCTTAATAAGGACATGTGAAACATGTTTTAAAATCCAGATGCTTATCCGATGCACCAGTGGCACCAGATGCCCAAACAGGACTTTACACTGATGGAGAAACTTGCACAGCCTTTTGTTTTTGTTTTTTACCTCCAGGCCAAGTGTGATATTATGATTTCTGCATAGGCAGTGGGGTTTGCAAGCTCCCCCCCCCCGCCCCGCTCAAAGCAACTTATCTAAAGGCACGTCACTGCTGAAATCTGGGAGCTGAAGGCATTTCAAACCCTCAACAGAGCAAAAGGAATTTGCAGTAAGAAAAGTAATAAGGACCCCCCACTATGCACACTCACAAGCTATTGTGTATGCATGTCTTTTATCTTCAAGTTGCCACCCACCAACAGGTTTAGCAGTTTGAGGTTCAACTCACCAGGATGTTTTCTAGGGGAGATTAGGAAAGATTGCATCTATGCTAAAGATTCATTGTTCATTGTCACACAGCTGTTTAAAACGTTTTTCATTGTTTAAAGCAGTGAGAAACAGTGTTTCAATGCCCGAATGTTTTTTCCAGATGCGGGGGGGGGGGGGGGATATTTAACACTGGTCTCAGCTCAGTGCCAATGGTGCAATACAGTAGTCAATTCCTACTTAATTCCACTTTTTAAAACATGGTGTGCTCCCAAGATGTCAAGGCCAGAAGGAAGGCAGTCTCTAAACAGCTGCATTTTCAAAGAATGAAAAATTAAATTCAGTTTGCCTTTTTTTAAACACACACACCGACGACAACTGTGGTACAGAATGAAAGCACTCAGACTACAGAGAAAAAGATAATGTGTTGTTGTTTTTAAGTTCCTAAAAATGGCACTGCAAAGTAATCATCCAAACATCACATTATTGCCATAAACATACACCAAGGCTGGAGTAACGTTTTTCAGCAATCATCTCCACAACATAGTAAAAACTACACACTTATTTTTCTAGTGCTTGAACATTCTCTAGGCATTGCATAACCTTTAAAAAGCAATACAGTCTCTACCTGCAGGCTCAGAATCTTATAGGCAGACTTAAGAATAGAAGGGAGGAGGCGGGAATAGGATGGCTGGCAAATTCAGCCACGAATGCTTAATACGGTTACATAAATGTTTGACCAGGTGAAATGGCCGTTGAAAGAGGCACCTTCTGAGAGTGGAAGAACCAAATGGCTGCTTGTCCTAGCCAAGACACTTGCACAGAATCATTCCTTCTCAACTCTCCCTCTTCTGAGCCAGATTTCCAAACATGAAATAAATGGCAGCATGGAATACCCATGTGTTAAGACATATTCTTGCTTGCCAAGACAATATGACTGCTGCTGCACAGTTCTCCCTCAAAGAAAACACAACTCTCAAATCTATGGTGCCCATGCATACCTGCACATACAGTTGCATGCTAAGTTATTAAGCACCAGTCTCTGAGAAGATACACTTCGGAAGTTCTCACTCATTTTGCATATCCTTTTCGGAACAGAGCACACACTGAAATACAACATTTGGCTGTTCTGAAGGAGATGGTTCCTGGCTCAGAGCATGGGAGTGATACTGTGGGTTATCTTGAAGAGAAGGAAAAGGATTGCCTATCTTCTGAGCAAGGGGCGCGGGTGGCGCTGTGGCTTAAACCACAGAGCCTAGGACTTGCCGATCAGAGATGTTGCAAGTTAATATCAATACCAAAGCAGTTTTAATTTTTGTTGATGCGGAGAAAGCCTTTGATAATATTTCTTGGAGTTTCATGAAGAAAAATCTTCAGGGGATGGGAGTTGGCCAAGGGTTTGAAAATGGTATAAGTGCAATATATTCAGAACAAAAAGCTAAGCTAATAGTTAATAATGTGGTAACAGAGGAATTTAAGATAGAGAAAGGGACACGACAAGGCTGCCCAATTTCCCCATTGCTTTTCATTTCGGTCCTGGAGGTTTTGCTAAATATGATTAGAAGGGACCGTTTGATTAAAGGTATACAGGTCGGAGCCAAACAGTACAAATTGAAAGCCTTTGCAGACGATTTAGTATTGACGTTACAGGAGCCAGAATCTAGTACTAAAAGAGTCTTAGAATTGATTCAGGAATTTGGTCATGTGGCAGGATTTAAGTTGAACAAGTTAAAAACCAAGGTGCTTGAGAAAAATTTAACATCAATTGAGAAAGAGAGGTTTCAGAAGGAGACAGGTTTAACATTGGTTAAGAAAGTAAAATACTTGGGGGTTAACATGACTGCTAAGAACTTAAACTTATTTAAAGACAATTATGAGAAATGTTGGTCAGAAGTGAAAAAGGATTTAGAGATATGGTCAAACTTGAAGCTTTCCTTGCTAGGTTGAATTGCTGTTATAAAGATGAATGTATTGCCAAGAATGTTATTTCTGTTTCAATCATTGCAAATTGTGGACAAAATGGACTGTTTCAAGAAGTGGCAGAGAGACATTTCTAAATTCGTCTGGCAGGGCAAAAAGCCTAGAAGAAAATTTAAAATATTAACCGATGCAAAGGAAAGAGGTGGATTTGCCCTGCCAGACCTTAAACTTTATTATGAATCAGCAGCATTCTGCTGGTTGAAAGAATGGCTGCTTCTTGAGAACACAGACATTTTGGATTTAGAAGGTTTCAACAATGTTTTTGGGTGGCATGCATATTTGTGGTATGACAAGGTTAAAGCACATAAAGCATTTAAAAACCATATTGTCAGAAAAGCATTGTTAAATGTCTGGATAAGATACAAGGACTTACTGGAAAATAAAACCCCTAGGTGGTTGTCACCGATGGAAGCAAAGGCTCAGAAAAGGCTCAATATGGAGGCCAAATGGCCGAAATATTGGGAAATTTTGGAACAAGAAGGAGACAAATTGAAATTGCAGAGCTTTGAAAAATTAAAAGATAAAGTGCGAGACTGGCTTCATTATTATCAGATAATGGAGGTATATAATCTGGATAAGAAAATTGGCTTCCAGGTGGAAAAATCAAAATTGGAAATAGAATTGTTAGAACCCAATTCTAAGATTTTGTCAAGAATGTATAACTTGTTGTTGAAATGGAATACTCAGGATGAAACCGTGAAATCTGCTATGATTAAATGGGCACAAGATCTAGGATATAATATTATGTTTGCTGACTGGGAACAGTTGTGGACCACAGGTATGAAATTTACGGCATGTAATGCCCTAAGAGAGAATATTATGAAAATGATATACAGGTGGTACATGACACCAGTCAAGCTTGCAAAAATTTACCATGCGCCCGATAACAAATGTTGGAAATGTAAAGAAAATGAAGGTACTTTCTTTCACCTTTGGTGGACGTGCCCAAAGATTAAGGCTTTCTGGGAAATGATATATAATGAATTGAAAAAGGTATTTAAATATACCTTCTTGAAGAAACCAGAGGCCTTTCTCCTGGGCATAGTCGGCCAATTGGTGCCAAAGAGGGACAGAACTTTCTTTATGTATGCCACAACAGCAGCAAGAATACTTATTGCAAAGTATTGGAAGACACAAGACCTACCCACCTTGGAAGAATGGCAGATGAAGGTGATGGACTATATGGAATTGACTGGCAGAATCCGAGACCAGGGAGAAGAGTCGATGGAGGAAGATTGGAAAAAGTTCAAAGATTATCTACAGAAATATTGTAAAATTAATTAATGTTAGAATGATGTTGGATAGAAACTAAGTGGTCTTTAGCTGAAAGGTTATAAGGGAATATGAAAAAAGGGTTTATTAATATGTAAAAATCTAAAATTACAATATTTTTGTGATTAATGACTAGGATACATAAAGAGGGGAGGGATTTGCTGAACGAAATAACTGAACTGGAATACAAAAAAAGGAAGGTGTGAGGAGGTCCTGGAAATAAGCAAATGAAGGTCAAGCAATGAAAGGAATGAATTGTTTTTAAATATTTTTACTTTGTATTTTTTCTTTTTTTGTGCGTTTTGTAAAATCTTGAAAACCTTAATAAATATCTTATAAAAAAAAAAAAGAAGGTCGGCGGTTCGAATCCCCGCGACGGGGTGCGCTCCCGTTGCTCGGTCCCTGCTCCTGCCAACCTAGCAGTTCAAAAGCACGTCAAAGTGCAAGTAGATAAATAGGTACCACTCTGGCGGGAAGGTAAACGGGATTTCCGTGCGCTGCTCTGGTTCACTAGAAGCGGCTTAGTCATGCTGGCCACAAGAGCAGGAAGCTGTACGCCAGCTTCCTCAGCCAATAAAGCGGGATGAGCGCCGCAACCCCAGAGTCGGCTACAACTGGATCTAATGGTCAGGGGTCCCTTTACCTTTATCTTCTGGGCATGATGGAGAAGGGAGAGCAGCCTCGTAGTGAATGTTCACAGAATAGGAAAGCTATAAGAATATATTGAATAAAACATTTATGAAACATGAGAACAATGAAACACACGAAGCATGCAAAGGCCGCTTTACTAGAGGCTGGTTTCTGGGGGAAGCCCTGAGATAAACTAGGTATTATGAAACACCCAGCAAAAGTGAGTTTATGTACACTGGACGCTAG